TCCTGGGAGGCTGGAAGAGGACTGGGGCTGCTGGCACCCATGGCAGGGGAGCCGGAGGAGGGGGCCACACAGCCCACAGCAGGACCATGTCCTTGCAGGGACGACGTGTGACCCTGCCTTCTGGAACACACAGAAGGAGAAGCTGTTGGCCAACCTGCCCCAGGAGCTGCTGCAGGCCTATGGCGAGGACTATGTGGAGGAGATCAACCACCAGTTCATCCAGTTCATGAAGGTGGCCGTGGAGGACCTCAGCGCGGTGGTGAACAGCATCACAGACGGGCTCCTGGCTGCCAACCCAGCCGTGCGTTACTACCCAGGGCAGGGCCTTGGGCTCATGTATTTCATACACCGCTACCTGCCCTATTTTGTCCGAGACTTGTTCTTGAAAGGATTTTTCATCAACCCCAAGCTGCCCCGAGCGCTGCGGCAGGAGCACCACAACGACGTGAAGAAGGCCTGACCTTGGCCCTCATGTGGCCTTGTCCCGGGATTTCCAGGCACATCAGCCCCTGAGTGCGTGCGCAGCCAGAGGCGTCGCCCTCCTGCACCGTGGGGGAACGATCAGCACTAGAAGTTAAAAACCAAATTTCTTTCCAAAATCAGGTAGATCTATTTTCTATTGTGTGAGAATCATTTTCTAGAGACCTTGGTTTTGTATTTTTTCTAACCATGCATCCTCCAAGGAGACTGTCCCTGCCTGACTCAGCAGCTCCGCACCACGGGCTGGGATGTGCCTTGGGCGTTTCCTCAGCTACCTGACTTCTTCCTTACTGCCCTCGGAGCTGTGTTTGTCTCTGTCACCTCTTGGCTGATTTTCTATTGTGTGAGAATCATTTTCTAGAGACCTTGGTTTTGTATTTTTTCTAACCATGCATCCTCCAAGGAGACTGTCCCTGCCTGACTCAGCAGCTCCGCACCACGGGCTGGGATGTGCCTTGGGCGTTTCCTCAGCTACCTGACTTCTTCCTTACTGCCCTCGGAGCTGTGTTTGTCTCTGTCACCTCTTGGCTGGGGCTGGGCGGGGACCCTGTGGCTGCTGCCTCCCTGCCGCTCATCACACACTCCACGTGCTCCCGGCGAGTG